AGGAAAATAATAACAAACGTAAACAAAGAGATAAACGGTGAAAGACAAAATTAAAATCTGATATTTTTTTACCACCTTTGTACCTCCTTTGCATTCTAGGTGTGACGCAATTCCACAGTAACTACAGAAGTGAATCAGCGAAACGGAAATCCACCGCGAGTCCTGCTGCAGAGCTGTTAAAAACAATGCGCAGCGCTGCCTGGACTTCGGTCCTTTTTTCATTGTGCTTTAAAAACCTTCCACGTTATGGCAGTGCGAAGCTTCGGGCCCAGTGGGCGAGTGAGATTGGGTTAGACTCCCCAGCTTGCACTTGGCGTGTTTGCACAATTGCCACGTCATTATACACATAGGCCTACATTGTGGAGCAATATATTATTCCATCTATCAGAAACACGTGGCTTTAATTCCATCCATATAGTCTAAACACAGTCACGTACACAGCAACTCATATGTCATATTCGGAAGGTACAGCGTTCGAATCTCGATTCGGAGATCACTGCCCAGAAAATATTTTCAGTCCCTCCAGACTATGGAAAATGCAGCCACGATTTTTGGGACTTCCAAACCCAACCCTATCCTTAATTTTAAAATTATGAAACATAAAATGTGCAGTTGAAAAAAGCGTTAAAATAGAGAAAGAATTAATCGGTCAACAGCGCAACAAGCTACAATGATACTCTGATGCTATTGAACAGGATAATCCAGTCTCAGACTGCGGATTAGAATCATGTTCAAAACAGAGACATGTGTCAGCAGTTTCTTTTGACACTGCGTAGGAAAAGACCTCGCGTTCTGCCGATCTCCCATACAATTCTACACTACGTCAATTAAAAATTCTGAAGAGGACGGGTGACACCATGCTATCTGGTGGTATTTGACCAGCTAAATCTATTTGTATTTTTTTCAGTAATAATATAAACACACAGACACAATAAAATAAGTTCCACTTTGCTAATAAAACTAGAAAGAGGTATCCAAATTTGGAATACACATATTTTTTTAAAAAAATCCTTTGTATTAATAGTCATACAATTAATTTCGATGTAAATTTACTTCTCATTCAAATCTTGTAGCAAAGAAATTGGCTTAAAATTTACTTAGTCTTCATGTAATTAAATACGTAATTTTATTAATTAAAATATTATTCATGAAGGAGGATATCTCTCTGAAATAAATTAAAATCCTTTACTTCAACATTTATTAGTTGCCTTCCCCTCTTTTATCCTAATATTATTATTAAAATTCTTATTTATTACAGAAGTCTTATATTCAAAACAGAATGTCATTAACTTTCATTGTATTTCCAGCAAGACTTAATATAATTCCACAAATAAATTAGTAGATATGTTTAATTGAATGAGTAACTATAATTTCAGCAGCGGAAAGTAATAAAGTACACGCCAATGTTCCATCAACATCACTGATCACAAAAGCATTCACACGACTTCAATTTGGACAAATTGCTTGCCTTTGCTAGCATTCAATCACATATTAATTATTCAAATTTTTAAATAAAAATTGTAGACATACGTCCTGTAATAAAGATAACATAAACTTTATATAATGAGTTATTTCTCAGTAAATCGATAAAGATCGATTTGTGCGTCATGAAAAGAAAATTTTAGACCCCAAACTAAATTCGCTCGATAACATTTAACGAAATGTAATTATTAACTTCGAAGATAAAACACAACAGACAGATACGCCCTCACCATTATTCGTTAATTCTATGAATTCCGTACATAACGCATAGAATTCAACACGGAAACTGTTACATGTGATATCTTGGATATATGGAAATGAAGTTGATTGTGTTGGAAGTATAATGTAACCACTTTGGAAAGTCAGGGGTTAGAATACGGCGGATTCGTATTGACACAGAAGCTACACGTTTCGGCCAGCACCCCCTTTGCTATCGTTAAAATATAACGGATTGAAGTACAATGAGGGGGGTAGTATTATAGCCAACAGAGACATGGGGGGAGGGGGCTAACTTTACATATTCCTCTAAAAATGTCAGCTGATGGTTTTTCAGTACTTTTCCGATAACTGCAGCATCAGCTACTGCTCAAGTGGAGTCTGGAAGAAATGTAATTTCATGCGGTCCAAGAAACGAGTGTTTTTCATGCAATGCAAAATAGATATTCTTCAGATCTGCAACATCCTCGTTATGTATAAAGCAAGTGGCGGAAAGATGCGAAGAAAAATGGTCCAGACTGTCAGAAACAGAAGATGATCACTTCAAGTCGTTGCAGCTGCATGCTGGTGCGTTAGTTACGTCTTTCAGTTATTGAAGTCTTGTTTCTTCCTTGACATTTGACTTAGTTTTACAGAAATCCCACTCTTGAACTCATATAGCGGTAAGACTCCAGACTGATATTTTTTTCACCATTATCCCCTTCCAAGTTATCTTCTAAAGCTTATTAAAGTAGTACATAAGTTGCAGCCTAAAGAATGAAGCACAATCCACTATCCGAAAATTTAAATTTTATAATTTAGGCGATGGACAAAATCCAAATAGACTATTTTACATATTGCAACACACAGTCTTCAAAAACCTTCAGATTTTGACCAGTTCATTCCAGTTTACTTCATCACATCCTATTTTAATATTATATTCCCATGTTTCTGTATCTCCCAAGTAGGCCTCCGTCTAAAATTTTACGATTATAATTATGGCCGTATTTCTCATT